GTTGAGACGAGACGGATTATTCACAATAAGAGAATGTTTTTTAATAGTTTTGAGACTGTTTTAGCCATTTTACACACGTTTTATGTATAAACAATCTATGTAATCAGAAGGCACGTTGTCATAAATGCTTGTTAAAAAATAAAAATATGTATTTTTTAGATATATTGTTTTTTTATATGTTTCTTTTGTTGTCATATTCCTGTTCTATCCTTTTTCAAATTAAATGTATTATCTAGGAAGCGAAATTGTTGAAATCACTTTGCACTTTGCAATAAACGATTTGTCATATGACCTGTAAATTTCCAGTCTACTTGTATAGTCTATCGATTTCCAATTTACACTCAAGATTGTATATACGTACATTATATAGAAATATAGCAATTAAAAATGTTGAAAGTGTTTCATAGTTTTCAGAATATTGATTTATATTTTTTTACAAACAAAATCAAAGTAAATCTGTTTTTATAGTCTTACTATCCGGAATAAGTTTATTCTTTCAAGCTTTTATAACAAAAATAAATATTTACCGAATCAATAAAACATCATTTAGACAATTCGCGTCATATTTTACATCATTTAGCAAAGAATGGAGCAGTTGTGAAAAGTAAAAAAAAATATAGCAAAAAATGATTGAAATTACAATAACAAGCAATTCAAGTGCAAACCTTTTTTAATCGGTGTAACAATCGACGACATTGTAACGATAACTCACTCTTAGAACAGTTCTATATTTTCAGTTTGGAGAACGTTGTTATCATTATAATCATCGCTCATAAATTTATAAATTTACAAAAGTTATAAAGTAAGCGGTTAATAAGACTGGAACTATTATGGTTCATCAAAACGTTGTCATTTCTTCTGATATCATTAAGGATAGGATTTAGTTAGCTTTATCATTTATTTTTTAAAATTTTGTTCAGGAATAGAAGATAAAATGCGGAAATTATGACCTTTATTAAAAGATCTGATATTTCAGAAATATTGAAAATCATTGCGTTTCCACTTTTGAATAAGATTCCTGCATCCATTTCTAATTGAAGAGCTTGTAGCAAAATGTATAAGGCGTAGTAATTTATGTCAAGGTTATTATCGTCTGGGTGTTTTTAAGAAACAAGATATTTGCGAGTAAAAGTATAGATAATTAGATTTTATGTGAGTGAACTACAAAGGCAACTTGTTAAGTATCATAAAATACTAAATGACATTTGTTTCCTTTATCTAAATGTAAAACAGCAGTTATATACATGATTTTATATTGTAAAGAAAACACATCAAATAGTGTAGATAAAACAACACCTGTTATCTCGTGTGTATAAACAAATACTTGAATTTATAAGAGAAATCATATTATAATTATGTAATTAAGTGGAATAAATGAATCAATTACTGCTCTACTTGACACTGCTTTACAAGCGTAAAAGTAGATATATGACTCCAACAAAGAATAATTAATTATTCGTTTCGACCAGTATACACTATAGACATAAAAGTGGAAGAAATTAAAGTCACCTATTTGTTGCAACCATGTTGTGCTTAATTAGGATAAATGTTTGAATGCGATATAATAATATCACTTGTCTATTACCTAATACTTACTACATCAACGTGTTAATATGTTCATATAGAAAACGCGTATTTTTATATATATTTTAGCCTTGATAGGTTGATCGATTGTCTAATTCTAATAGTATTACAAAATAGATCTGAATAATTTTATCCAATCTTATTCTCATAGAATATTTTAACATTTGAATTTCAGGCAAACTTTATAAATACAATTTAACATTTTTGAGATATATTATGTTATTTTCAATCAAGAGTGTGACAAATGTAAAAAACTATACACTTAAAATATTGTCCTACAAAACCTTTATGATATTTCTAAACAAGAAAGGCATTCTATATACATTTAGCTTGGGTGACGTTTAATGTTCGTAATCCAATGTAATATTTTCAATCAAGTTTATGCCGTTAACGCATTCCTAAATTGTTGTCAAATTTAAACATTTTGTTATTAAATTTGTTTCTTAGTCCAGGTAAGAGCAACATTAAATGCCTAATTAACACGAGTAGTTATTACTTTTTATGTATGTCGCTAACTCTTAATATGATGGAATCGATAGTGATGTGCATTCGCCATCAGACAATCTTGCACGGGTACAGTATGGCCAGAATATATATTGTGATATCAATTTTGATAATGAAGTCCCTTGAACATTAAATGTAGTGTCCTAAATTCAAAAAACTGTTATAACCTATTACACAAAGGTTAAAGGTGAAATGGTTACCAATAACAACAGTCTTCTATTCATCTTCAATCTCATGAATAAATATAAATGTCGTGATAGAGAAGTCCTCTTTTGTTACAGAATAATTTAGAAGCTTTAGGCATGAACATTATCATAATAGACAACAATGTTAATTTGTACACTGTACAACCTTTTGTGCTTAAATACCGATATATGCTTAGCAACAGCAGCGAACATTTCATTGTCAGTTACATGCATTGATCATTACATTTCTGTTAGTGTTACTTTCCGTCGAATATGACAACATTTATATAACTATGTGATATAATTGTTTCAATAACATTTCATTGTCAGTTACATGCATTGATCATTACATTTCTTGGTAGTGTTACTTTCTGTCGAATATGACAACATTTATATAACTATGTGATATAATTGTTTCAATTTTAGCAATGTCGTTTTCATTAGAATATAAATGCATTGTCATAAGTTTGTTTAAGCAGCAAGTCAATGGTCTCTTTGTTTATCTGTTTTTTATGCCAATTATAACGTATATTTGGTCATTAATCAGTGGTTAAACATTTACTAATAGTTGTTATGAGATTTAACTATAATAATGTAATACGGAACATGTGTCCGAGTTGGACATAATTATATTAAGAAATTCCTAAGCAAAAAGTAGTTTTGATTTAAAAATTAATATTACTTAAAGATTATAAGGTTTAGTATCATTTCTATTCATTTTCTATTGAGCAACAGCCAAAGAAAGTGCTTGTTTAATTATGAGGTTGTAACCCAGGTTATTTATACATGGCGCATGTGCATTTTAAGATCTGTTTACTCGAATATGATATACCAATACTTGAATATAATAAAATGGAGTAGGGTGTCAAATATGAACTCACAAATCATTGGATTCGAGTGAACGACAATAACGACAATAATTGATGCCAATATTAGATGTGTGAAAATAAATGAAATTCATAATAAAATTTATATTCCAATTAATATAAGTATCATAACATGTGACATGAACGAGGAAAAATGAGACAACTTCCTTGTTTGATTATTATCATATTATGTATTTCATAGTCGTAGAATATGGAAAAAAAAAAGAACGGCGTATTTCAACTCATTTCAATTTAGGTAAAATTATATTTTTTGAGTTTAACTCAAATTTACCCTTTTTGCATTATTTGAAAAGCAAAAGCAACATTACCACGTTTATATATATTGTAGTTGAATGCAATGTAATTTGCGCCTATCATGAAAAAAAATATATTACCTAAGTGTGAAATAAAATGATGCGTCTCGATAGTTTGATTTTTTTCTTTCTGGTGCTTCCAGTGTTACTTCTTGAATTATAATACATGTAATATGTTTAATTCTTCTAAAACCGGTACACGGGGGCTTTAGGGATTCTGGCCATAATCAACCTTGCCTGGTAGTATACTATTTTCTCTTTTATAAGTAGAGTTTACCGCATACACATTAAAATTAAAAAATTTTGAAAGCGTTTTTTTAAAAATATTTAATACTTTAGATAGAATTTACCACCTTAATGAAACAAAATAATCATGTTTGTTATGGTTGATTTATAGAAATAAACGCTGTCGAAACGTAGATGAAACAAAACATGTTTTCAAACAATGAAACAGTTGTTTATCACAAAAATATATATTATCATGTCTAATTATATACTTGCGCATACCAAATATGTTTTACATATATAGATTCATCTAAGTTACTTTCTTTGGTCGCTGATGATAATAATACTTACAGTACAGTAATACTTGCTTCAGATTGAATTTTGAAGATGGAATTTCGACATTACTATTGTAAAGGTTTGCTTATGTCTGCAATATTTTATCAGACACCTTCAGCTTTAAGCTGTACAACATATTTATATTACGTGCCAATCTTTGAAGCTTAACAGCTGTTCTTAATATACATGTATATACTGTTAATTGAAGTGATGTTTGCACTATTTGTTCCTATATGGTCTTAAAAAGGTCCGTTTGCAAATTCCTGCTTCTGAATAAAATGGTCGTATATATTAAGCTTTTGTTTCAAACATGAACCATTTAAAGCACAATTGATGAAATATTCTGATACTTTCTGAAAGAATGTTCGTTTTTTTTTTCTGGTAATTTCAGTGAGAGGTTCGTGTAATTGTATATTTTCATAATCCTAATCTGCTTTATATTATTTTGTTTATTTCTTTATACCAATATACCACTTATAGTTATAATCACTAGGTAATTTATTCTCTCACCTGTGATGTGTATCGAACAAATGACTTACCCAATGTTAAAAAACTGATACTTTATAGTCTTAATTCAGCATCATTAATATCATAAGTATTTCTACAAGTCGTAAGGAATGTTTTTAAAGTACAACAATACACACTTCTCCAGTAAGGGTTTTCTTTTGAGAATGAAAAATGAGAACGTATTTATATCACTATTGATATCAGTTCATTTCTTTGATCAATAAAAGATTCCTTGTGCAAATAAATAAGCGTTTTTTTTCTAACCATAAACCACCACGCTGTATTATCGGCACCAGTTATGACAGGTTGCCGCAAAGATATCAGAGATCTAACCTATATCAATTATAGCAGGTAGATAATCAAATTGTTTGGTATAACAACATTACGCAAATGACACTGTTTTGGTTCATTGAAGATATTACTATCAGGTTATTTTGGACTTGTAAATCCAGGTTTTTAAAATACCTGAGCGGGTTGTGACCCTTCGTCTAATTTTGCCAACAGTATATAGCCATTTCATTCTGCTTAGTCTTAGCATTGGTAGCATACTTTTTTGTATTTTATTACTGAAATCGATTTAAGTTTCAATTCAAAACAGGGTGAATCGATTACACAGAGCACGTAACATATTATAAGTAATTGCAACAACATGTATCATATAGATTTCCTTTCTTATGTTCCAATTATTTGTAAAATTTCCGTTTTGGAAATCATTAATAAACGCCATTCTCTATATGCATGTATATAGAAATTAAGGTGTAAAATATGAATGACAAGAATTATCTGAAGACAGTTCGACTTTTATGAAATTCTATCAAATTGTTGAAAATCATTCAATATTTGTTGTTAAATCTTAGTATTTTGCTTGTAAAGTAACATTCGCTTGTTACCAAAATGCTTCCATCAGAATTGGGAATAAACGGTTACCGTAAAAGCTTAAAATTGTAAAGTTTGTATATTTCTATTATAGAAAGGTAACTTGCTCTCGGGGGATCTTTCCTGTCCTTTTGAGTATAATTCAAAAGAGACATACATATGAAAAAATAAAAATAAATAGCATTCAGTGTAAAATTTTCTAAAGAATATCTTCAGAGAAAATGTGCTACTACTTTATAGTTCATAACAAAAAAAGTAATTGACATAAAACACAGAAATCCACCTTATAAATATATCACAAAATATCACTTTGATAAAAATTGCAAAGTATATTTACACGTGACATGTATATAACAAATAGAGGGGGCTATAAATTTGTTTCGAGACTTCGAATGCCTGGCCGTTTGGAATGATTGTTTGTGAGTGAAACATGTTTGTCTACAACAGTACTTCCATGTACAGAACCTGTGGTTGTAAATGATGAGGAATTAATGTTCACTGGTGATATGCTTTCTTTCGTTTCTAAACGCATGTATTTCGCGTCACTTACTGTTTTTGATAATGATTTTATCGCCGGTTTCTGGTCATCTGAAGATGACGACATATCATCTTCACTACTGCTATGACACAGTGATGTTAGTCTTCTCTTTGATCGAGATTGATAATGCTGAACTTTAACAATAGGACAAATGTCCAGCGGTACTTTAGAACCAGATGTGTGTTTGACTTCTAAGGTAGACGGTTGAAGGTCAATGTCATCCTCCTGAGTTGCCAAGGGTACGTAAACGTTTTTTGACTTTACGTTCGGAATGTTTGCATAATTCATTTTAACACATGTCTTTTGCTCTACAAGTGACGGCAAGCTCTTATTTAGTTGTGATATGTTTACAAGATCATTTACGTCACCATAATCAGTTACCGAATGAAAGTGACTGCGCATTTTTGCACTGTGTGACACTAGGTCTGGGGGAATTTTTAATACAATTCCATTTAACTGACGCTCTTTTATATCCATCTTTTTAACATTTTGCACCCAGAATGCAGTTGCTTTTACAATATTTTCTTCTGAATCCGGCAATTTTTGAGGGCTGTTATCACATTCAAGCTCATTGTGGCCATTCGTTTGCATATGAAGAGAGCTTTCACGTTTGCATGACCCTCCTGGACTATTCACACTTTGCTCCGGATCAATTTGATGTTTAGTACTCTCTGAATCTCGAGACAAATTAGCCCTTTCTTTCCAAATCATTTTTGCACTTTCACTTATCCATTGTGATTCTTCAGACACTATCTCATTCTTACACTGTTCAGCAGAATCAACATTTGGAAAATCATCTGGAAAATATTTCATTTTGCACCTTTGAATAAGTCCTAATAACCTTTTGCGACACTTAGTACGATAGATAACATACAACACAAGCACCAAGAGAATCCCGCCTAAAACACTGGCTGTATTAATTCCAACTTCCGGATCGTAAGAGTTATAAAATTGGCCTCCTACGAGTTTTGTTTTATTAGACTTATAATTGATTTCTCTGGATTTATCTACATTATTTCCTAATTGGTCGTAAATAACTGGCAATTCTGATGAGACTTGAGTTGAAGATATGTTACTCGTCTGATTTTCAGTTACGTTTGTCCCATGTGTGTAAGTAAGTAGAACATCTCTTCTCATTTCTCCTCATTTGACTGAAAATTAAAACAAAGGTAATGGTCAGTATGTACAGAATTTTACAAATATGTTACTTACAAATTTCAAGATCATTAATCATCATTGATAGAAATAAATGATTCAACATAATGTATGAAAACTAGATAAATATCAATAAGGAATTGGAACTTAGTGCAATATTAAGCCACACATCCAAGTATTGTACGGCCAAAATGAGCGCTGTCCCCATAACAAAGCACAGCGGTGACCTTACAGGCACCTTGCGGGGACGTGGCAGCTAACGGATCGTGGCGACGGTCTAATATACAAAATGACAAATAAGTAATCATAAATATTTCCTAATCAGGTCAATTAAAAGTCAGACAGTGATATGGAACAACAACGTCCGGTCATGAAAGCCTTTTGCATTTCTTCTATTAAGATCATACTCATGTTATATGTGACCTGAAGATTTCCTGATGAAGGAAACGTATCTAAACAATTGATATTACCGGGAAATATCCAAAATAAAAGTGTGTGCAAATAAAATACTAGTACGTAATAAATATGGAAATCGAAATAACGGAATTTTAGTTTTTAAACTAATAAACAAACGACAATTTATCTTTAAAAGAACAGTCTTGAGTTTCTATCATATCGTTGAATGTTTTTTCTAAATTAGAAGAACCGGCTGCTTCAAAACATTTATAAATGAGCTATTATAAACATAATCAGAATCTGTATACTGTGTATTTTATGCAATAATGTTTAGTCACGTGTGCGCCTGACGAACGTCAGAGGATGTACTAGATTTATAAGATTAATGCTCTCGGCATTATGTTAAACAATGAAGAGACATGGCAAAATAAACAAGGCTTAATCCCCTTACAGATTTTACATAACAAAGTAAATAGACAATGATCAATTCAAACAATGCCGTGATGTAGGATTATACTGTTATAATAATAGCATTGCCAATAAATATTTCAGAAAGTAATAACAATAAGGTTTAAAAATTCAATGAGAGAAATCCGGAAGATATAATAAATGTGTTGTGATGAACTGACAAAGAATACGTCTTTTTCGTTCGCGCTAATGATTGTGTATCTTAATCAAGGTCACGCAAAGGTGGAGAACAGTGGTAGAAATGAGGCGGGGGTTTTAACTCGCAATGTCATTGGTTTTTTTTTGTTGGCGCCAAAATGGTCGGGTTTAAGTCCAAATCGCAGTTTTTTGGGACATTTAGATTTTACTTACTGGCCGTACTTGATTGTTGCTTTAATTCATATGTTTATAAATGGATTGAACCATTTTCTTGTTCAATATATTATTCTGCATTTTTGCAAAAATTGATCGTGTTACATTTCTCAACACACGCATATTTGTAAAATAGTTAATATTTAAAGGTGTTTCTAATATTGGCGACCACTGTTTGAAATAAGATCTTGATATAACAATTTGAAAACTAGAATGCAAATTTTACAAAGCGTATTGATATTTGTCAGAGCTAATGACGTCACAGCGCGTTTAGTGAAAGAAACCGGGAATTCAACAATTAAAATAAATTGAATTTGGTATTGAATTACGTATAATTGCCAGTACTTTTACAATCAGCCTTCCTTAAAGGAAACATTAACAAATAAAACAGACTGTGTTATTTAATAGGTCTGACGTCAACTTTTAAAAATCATAAAGTGTATAATTATGCATTTAAATTTAATGATATCTAAAGTTTGTTTTTTTCACATAAGGTATGCATATTATTTTACATAATCATGTATAGTGTGTACAATTTTAAGTTCAATACAGTAACAAACAATTGGTAAAATGAACATATAAATTGAATTAAACCAAAACTTGTTATAAAAGTAAGATTTGATACCTTGCGGTATAATTGATCTTTGTTATAATTTAAACTAATAAAAGACAAATACTTGTATATTCAGTTTTCACAAAATAAAAAAAATAAAAAAACCAAAACAAAACTACATTTTGTACTTTTATCATTCTGAGCTGTGCTATAGCTGTTCACATCAAACGTTCAAAGCGGCACTAAAGATAGTTTAAGACATAAATTTAATGACCATCAGAATTTGTAACACATCCTTACACAAAACAGAGAAACACGGAATCCCTGAAAAACGCAAAAAACGACAAAATTGAAAATGTTTCAGGCTCGGTTTGATTGGTCTGTTCATGGATGGTACTGGAAAGTATTGATCATTTAAAAAACAACACATTTACATAAAAATTACACGACAATATAGAGTATAATTGTTTTTGACAATAAGGCAAAACTTAAGATAAACATATAAGTAAACAATTATTCTTCATGTCTGATTTAAAATAACTCATTATATTTAAGACAGATAGACGAATTTGTTGTATTTTAATTGTATTTGTATTACTTCCGGTTTAAGTGGCTAACTGACCAATTGCACAGACACGCTTTAAAATGTTTGCGTTGGTGGTACTTGGCTTAAGGTAGAAGAACATGCATGCACTTTAAATTGTACAGATTTAATTAATAACTCTGCTTATAACTGTGTAATGTTTGTATTGAGCAAGAAGAAATCGAATACTAAAATCCCACTCACCTGTACATAGAATAACATGTGTAATTATTCCCAGTACATTTTAACGTTTTGAATCTAACCATTTTAGCATTAAACCCCAATATATAAACTCATTCCAATGTAAACCAGTGGAGTATACATATCCATAAAGGAGACTTAGTTTGTAAGATTTCCTTCGATTTTCCAATAATTTCTACCTGGGTTTGACAAAGGCACAAATTCTCTGCAGGTAATAAAGTGTTGCCTAGTAACGGAAGGCGGTTGTCGCCATGTATACAGATCTAAGAAACGATTTTCTGTTATCAGCTCTTGAGGAGAAGAGATATTTCCTAATTGAATCAACAAGTCTCGTCATGTTTCTAACTATATACCTTTAGTAAACATACTTATAAACTGTTTCGGTGGTCCGTATTGTATCATGTACATACACATTGTTGTAAACTATAATATTGCTTTGAATGTGAAAGTATAAATTTTTTTATCAATGAATAGATAAAAAAGTAATCAAACACCAAACTTTAAAAGACTATGCAAATGAAAATGGAAAATCACTAACTCTTTTAAATGATGGAAAGTAAATGAAACATAAACCTTTTCAAAAACAAGCAACGTTCACATAACAAACCAAAGCTGGCACAGTTGTTTTATGGTTGATAATTTACAGGTTCATAGAACGAAAAATGACTTTGATAAATTGAAGAAAAAATTTACCGACGTTATGGTATAAATAAAAACCTATTAATAGTGACAACTGTTAAGCTATGTTTTTTTCTTGACCATTTTAAGTTGTAACATAACTTATAAAATCAATAGCAAATGGATATTCAGTCAATTGTAACATTGAAACGATTTTTATTTATTTCTTTAGTAGGAAAAACAATTAGTTTTGTTGACTGTTATAAGGTTACTTTGCCTCAAGAATTCATCGATTAATTAATACCAATTAAAGTAAATGCCAGCAGTTTTTATATTGGAAAGCTCTTGACCAGAATCTGATCTGTCTGTTGTGTTTAAATGCTGTTACATAAGCAAATATTGATGCAGTCTAATTATCAGCTGCTTTATCAGAGTTAACATGCCGGGAATGTCATTTAGACAGGGTAATATCCGTTAATATTACAATGAGGCTAAAATGGTATCTAATCGTTTGAAAACTTCCGGTATACAAAATAAATGACGTCAATCTAGCCTAGCGTTAATTGAAAAGTTATTACACTCGTCTTTGTGTGTTAATAATTCACTAGTTAATCATATACATGTGCAAAATATGAAAGTTAGAGGAAAGCAAAAATTAAAAAAAGAAGCATATACTATTCGACGAATGACATTTATTGTATTTCTCTTGAATTAAAAAAAATCTTATTACGACGAAAACACATTATTTTTAATTATAAAATGTTGTTATCGAAACTTTGTCTTCATATTTAACTTTTCTCGGAACTTTGTCTTCATATTTAACTTGGGTGGGTTGGTTAAATTGGCATCAGAATATGTTATGCTATGCGTATGGTATATCACATTTCTCTGCAATATAAAATTATGGTAATACAAGAATTAAAGAGATGTCTCGTCTGGAGATATTTATAACATTCTGTCAATAATAAGCTAAAGCTTATGGCCATTAAAATAGTGTTCTTAAGAGGCTCGACTGCATTTCAACACGGCTGTCTCAGCAAATTTTAACCATTTTCTCGAGTTCGTGGTTTGTTGATGTTTATTTGTCTTTAATTTTCCCCAACTTCTGTCATATCCATCATGAAACCAGCGAATGCTTTATCAATCAACAATGTAAGATATATAAACATAAAAGTGTCATTAAAAACATTACATCTTTGACCGGATCATAAGTTATCAAGTTGAAGCATGCGTTCACAAAGTATATAAATAGTTTTTGGAATAGGTTTACTTCCAAAATGTCTACTTTATGTGTTAAATTAGACCTGTTCTTATTGATTATTCGTTTATTTGAAAAGATTACACGTATGTGATGAATACACCCTTACAACGAATATCTAACTCAGTTAGAAGGCTTTGTCACCAAGAATATGTAACATCACTAGGATATAGACAATAGTAGATACTACTTCATCTATTTACAAACAAGAAATAAGTTTCATAGACATTTTACTTAAATAATTTATCAAATGCTTCTGAGAATCAAGTTGGAGTTTTGGAACGAAAGTTCAGCTACACATTTGTTTGTAGATAGAGCATGTAGACCTTGTCTTGTAACAAATGATTGCAAATTATACAATGCATGGCTTACGGACCACTCATTATGTCAGTCAACAGATTCCTTATAGTGTTTTATTTCCATTCCAAACTTTGTTTAACAATTTACTACTTATTACAATAATTGCATTTTATAACAAAACTCAGGCACTTAAAAGCTTGTAGTGATAAAATTATTGAATCATAAAAACTGCAGGTTTAATCAATGAATAATAAATGTTTAGGAAAAA